AACCATTAAAAAAAAAAACCGCACCACAGCAATGTCATTAATGCTGGCGAAAGCCTTTCACGGTAAACCTGTACTCAGGAAATACAGATATACAAAGTGGATGCAGGTGAGGCAGAAATAGGGACCTGGAAAGGTCTGGTGTTCTGAGGACCCAAGAGACGAGCAGTATTTGTCCCCTTTGCCAACGTCTGCGTTTATAGAACATAACACACAGCTTCCTCTTCATTTCAATTTCAATGAATGCAACAAAACACAAGTTCAACCCGAGTTCCACGTTGGAACACAAGACACTAATAAATTCTATTTTCTTTGAAAATGACCTAAGTAACTCCTCACTAGCAGAGAACGGTCAAGAGAAGTAAAACGGCCAGACACCGGCTCCCATATACACACATCTTCAAGAAGACTCAAGGAAAAACAAACTGCAACTCACTTTCTTAATGGCGACAATTTGGTTGGTGTTCTTGTCTCTGGCCTTGTAAACCGTGGCAAACTAGAGAGAAGAAGAGGAATGAAGTTAAGTTGGTGAAGGTTTTTTTGGTTTGTGTTTGCCATTTTACTTTATTAGATTCGGGGAAGCAAGGAACCCAGGGTTCTTGGAAAAAACTCGCGGCGGCTTGAAACGTGGTGGGGCCGTCCACGTCTCGTTCCAGTCTATTCTTCGGAGAAGGCCGCTCAAGGTCTCATGTCCAGGGTGGACAGAGGGGCTGCAGGAGGGGTCTGGGCGGCCTCCCGCAAGCAGAACGAGTAGCGTGGCCCGTCCGCTGGCTTCCACGAGAAAACCCACGACGGTGTGAGGCGGCCTGGCGTTCCCCGCTCAGGGCCCTCCGAGCCCCGCCCGAGAATCTCACCTGTCCCTCGCCAAGGAAGTCCAGTTTTTCATAACGCTTTGCTCGCGACTTCACGTCCACAGCCATCTGTCGCGAGGAGCTCGACTCCAGCTGAAAGGGGGGAGCGCCCAAGACAGCAAGAATTTAAAGCACCTTAAAGCCTCCCACAGCCACTTCCGCCCACTGAGCGCCGATGCTTCATTTAGCTCCGCCCCCACTTCCGGTGTGGGCGGGGATGCTATTAAGTAGGTCCGGCCAGAGCCCGGAGGCAGGGCTGGAGGGCTCTTCTGCGCCGCACCCCGCCCTACCACGTGACCGCAGATTGTACCGGAAGCGGGGTGCTCTCGTTGGTGGCTGTGTCACCCTGTTACCGTTTTAACTTAGATACTTTCTTCACTACCGAAGACGGATCAGCGCTCTGATACGATGCTCTGTGTTCAGGATTTAATAGGTGTGTATGAGTGCGGAAGCCTCGGCCTTGTCTCTGATATCGCTCTCTAGTTTTTGCTCAAGGGTGTCCTGTCACCATGGTTACTGTGGACGCCTAAGCCGACAATTTCAGGTTACTTAAGCGAGTGCCCAATTCTTAAGGGCTGATCAAGAGGCATTCTTAGTCCTTTATGAGGAAGCACGTCTAGGCAAAGAAGTTCCAAGTCAACTGAACAATTTTGTGCTGTGGAACAGACTTCTGGCCATCAGTTTTCTACCCTGTAAGGTGGAACTTGTAGACTACGTCATAGGTGGTTGCTAGGATTAAATGAAACTTGCACAAAGTTTAGACATAGTGCTCAGTGGTTAACTGTGAACAGTACCCAACGTTGATTCTCATAAGTTTTCATACAAATCAACAATTAATTAATTTATTCAACGAATATATATTGAATGTTTACTATATGCCAGGCCCTGTTGCAGACTCTGAGAAATCAGCAGGGGAAAAACAAATATCAGTGCCTTCCAATGGGAGGAGATAATTAAAATACGCTATGATACATAGTGATAAGTGCTACAGAGATAATAAAGCTGGAAAGGGGATAGATAGTAGGGTTTGTGATTTTAAATAGGGTGTTACCAGAAAGACATTACTGAAAAGCCACTGCAGAGTTTTGAGCAGACAAGTGATATCGGACTTAATGTTTTAAAACTCGCCCTTTGACTGTTGTGAGATTACACTGTAAACTTAGAGGGGCAAGGAAAACCAAGGCCAGTTAAAGAATTATTGCAGGAATCCAGATGGTTGTATTGAGGGTACCAGTTTGGCTTCTAGCCAATACGACTTGCTGACAGACTGGACATGGGTTGTGGGGGAAGAAAAGGATAATTCTAAGGTTTTGAGCTGGAGCATTTGATGCTTCTAAGAGTTGAGAATCCTGATTTGCAGTTAGGTTGAAGAAGGCTGGAGAATACAAAAACTCATAACTTACTCAAGGTAGTACAGTGTAAAGGCTGGGTCCTTACTCTGGATCTAGGCTACCTGCATATGGCCCCACCACTATTCATTTACTAGGTTTATGATTTGGGCAAATTATTTAAACTTTCTGTTGCTAGTTTCTTCTGTAATAGGACCTACTCACTGGGTTGCTGTAAGGCTTAAATGACTGCACACGTCAGAAACCCTTAGGATACTGTCTGACAGTGTGCAGTTTATGTTAGCCATCACATAACTATTAGTGGTCACCTTCCAGCTCTTTGTCACTACTTGGGTCTTTATTGAGCGCTGATATATTCATTAAGCAAAATTCTCCTATGCTGCAGAAAACATACCATCTCTACCACTTATATCTCTTAATTGTGGCAAGTCATACCTAGTGATATATGGTGTCACATGACGTAGGAAATCGTTCCTTCTAAAAGAAATCACTGTTAACAGTAATCTAACCTCACTTGTAGTAGAAACAAGCTAAATAGTGAGCTAAATTTGAGGCTTGAGGTTCCCAAGTGTGCCATGGCATATGAATTGATGATCACATTATACCATGCTGCTCACAAGTAAATCCCTATATTGGGACATTTTAAATAGGGTAACAAAGGCAATGTTTTAAGTGATATTCTGGGTTCATTAGGGCACTGTATAAATATAAAATACCATTCAGCCTCTGTATAGCATTTTACAGTTAAGAAAGCGCTTTCACACACCAGTAGTAGCCAGCTTCCAAGATGGCCCTAATGATTCTTGCCTTCTGGTATTAATACACTTGTGTAGTTTCCTCACACAATGAAACAGGCTGTTCTGTGTGACTAATGGAGTATTGCAGAAATGAATGTGTATAACTTGAGTCTAGATCATAAAGAGGTATTGCTGCTTCTGCCTGTACACTTGGATCATTTGCTCTGGGGGAATTCAGCCATCATGTCATGAATTCATTCAGGCAGCCCTGTGGAGAAGCCTGGGTGGAGGGGTACTGAGGCCTCCTGCCAACAGCCAGCATCAACCTGCCAGCTATGTGAGTGAGCTATCTTGGAGATGGATGGTCCAGCCCCAGTGAAACCTTCAGATAACTGCAGCCCCAGGTGGCATTGATTGCAGCCTCATGAGAAACACTGAGCAGAACTGCCCTGCCAAGCTGCCCCAGAATTCCTGACCCAGAGAAACCATGAGCTATTGAGTGTTGTTTTCAGTCACTAAATTTGAGGGTGATTTGTTACAACGTAGTACACAATATACTAATTTGATCCTGCCTATCACACTGTATAGTACTGGAGAAAAAACTGCAAGTTGGACAAACTGAGCAATTTGCTAACAGTTACAGATACTTAACTGTTTAACTCCTAAATGAAAACACAAGCTATTTACTCGATAAATCAAGCCCAAATTCTTTCTATGACAGCATCCTCCTTGGGAGCTTATCCTATGACAGCAATTCCCAGCAATTCCTTTTGCCATACCTCTAGTCATAAATTCTGTAAAACTGATATATTTTTTCATTGGAACTTTCATGGCAGCAGCTGTAGTAAAGGTGGTCCTCAGACGGTTCCAGTATTGGGGTTTCTAACTGCTGGCCCACGGCATTACTCAAGCCACTCTTCATTTCCTGCACCTACTCCTTCTGAGAGCAAAAAAATTGCCTTGGGCTTCCTTTTACTGAAATGAGAAAGCTAAGGAGAAAAAAGAGAATAGTGCTAGTTTTTAAGAAATTTTTCCAAGTATATTTTTTAAATAATAAAAAAGAAATCATGAGTCATGTATTTCTCATGAGTTACCAGAATAGCTCATTGCTAGCACCAAACTCCTATTTCACATTCAAGTTGGGCAACATTTATACTAGGCCACAATACAGAATTTACACGAAAAGCAGATCAACTCTGAAATAGTAAAAAAGAAAAAAAAGTATAAAGATTAATCCATACGCAACTGGGCAAATACAAAAACGTACTCAACAATTCTACTGTGTCTATTACTCATGAGTTACCCTTACTATACTTCTTTAACGCATATTCTAGAAATCATTAAAGGTATAGAAGAGAATTTATTTCACTTTGTGAGGCTTTACTTTCACAATCATATACATACCTTTGGCACAGGAAGAGCCTATTAAAATTCTGTAAATTGCCTTAATAAGGTGAATAGGTTGATTTTATGAGGCTTTTGGACAATGAAGTTTGAGAAAGTTTATAATTATCAGGATTTGTACACGTGATCACAATCAAAACAGTAAAATAAACCAAAGAACAAGACTTTCTTAACACCCCTAAAAACATAATAACTTAAAATTTCTGGTCAAATGTTATTCCTATGCTACATTCATTTTGATCTCTTATTTTCCATTTGATACTCTGACATGTTTTTCTGAACACAGGTTACATAATCTTTTGTGTTAGCTCCCTAGTCTTAATACCACAAAGGCATCTGTTTTACCATGGCTGTATTTTTATTATTTAGAGTACGATATGCTTATTGAGCCAGTTATTCTCCAGTAACTTTGTGAATGCAAAAACACTGAGAGAATTAAGAACAAATAATGGAGTCATTATTTCACTGATCCTTATCCAATTCCAGGAAAATTACTTCCAGAAAGCTGCAATTCTGCCGGATATATTCTTTCCATGTTTAAACAGAAACTGAAAGAGAAGTGAAATTATGGTAAACCTATGATTGTTCACTAGACATTGTGTACTTTTAATAGTTCAACACTGTAATGCTTGATAATTTGATTGAGTAAATTAATAGGCTAACATTTAAAAATGTATACTTTAATAAGTATAAAGTATATAAACAATCAGGTAAGCTTGTGGAGAAGCTGACCAAGATACATAAATTAGGAGATACAAGTGTCCTAAATTTTCTATACTTCTTTTTTTTTTTTTTACAGAAATTTTATTAAAGTTGTTTAATGTACAATTTCTCATTTGTCATTCTGGAAGTCCTTCATTGTAAAGACTCTTCTTTGTCTGATTAAACAAACAGCAGCCACATTGTCAGTGATTATTCTGGACCTCCACGCTGAAAAGGAAGAAATAAAGCAATAAGATTACGTGTTTCATTTACAAAGAAATGTTTTCATGGCCACTATACAAATTTGAAACATTTTAATCAAATGATCTTTAGGTTTTAAAAACAATTTCAGATTTTTCATAGCTTTGGGGCACTCCTATCAATGTTATAAAGAATTTCAGATCTGAAGAGGACTCAAGGTTGACGTAGATCAATGGTCGACAAATTTCTTTGTCCTTTACACTTTAAAAAATCAATGGGGGGGCTTCCCTGGAGACACAGTGGTTAAGAATCTGCCTGCCGATGCAGGGGACACAGGTTCGAGCCCTGGTCCGGGAAGATCACACATGCCACAAAGCAACTAAGCCCATGCGCCACGACTGCCCAGCCTGTGCTCTAGAGCCCGCAAGCCACAACTACAGAGTCCATGTGCCACAACTACTGAAGCCTGCGCGACTAGAGCCCGTGCTCTGCAACGAGAAACCACCGGAATGAGAAGCCCACACACCGCAACAAAGAGTAGCCCCCGCTTGCCGCAACTAGAGAAAGCCCATGCACAGCAACGAAGACCCAACGCAGCGAAAAGTAAATTAATTAAAAAAAAATTAATGAGGACCCTAAAGAGCTTTTTTCCATGGGGTATATATATTTTGCTATTTACCATACTATACTTCTACACATATATTCCTTCATGCACATTTACTGAGGGCTCGAACATCATTTATTTCTCATAGTCCAGGCCTACATGACCATCCCTGTCTTAGGCTATGGACACACCTTGACAAGACAATGGGAAGAACACGGAAATCAGCAATATGAAACTCCAAAGCCAATAACGTTGAGGTGTTCTCCACAGTATTGGAATAAAGAGCAACAACGTACTTGGATAAATTCAATTTCTTCTTGAGATACAAGTTTCCTTCTGTACTTCTGAGGTAAAGTTTTTATTAGCTCTGCAGTGTCTGGTGGACCCGGATGCATCAGCCAGTCTGGTGATTTACTTCCCTTAGAATGCTGTGAAATTGAAGAAGAGTGAGACGGTAGTCCTGCTGATCTCAGAACTTCTGACACTGAAATTTAAAAAAAAAAAAAAAAAATAGAGGAATTGTTCAGTGTCTTAAAATACTATTTTGAATTATCTATCATTAAATAATCAAGTTTTTTTTTTTTTTTTTTTTTTTTTTTTTTTTTTTTTTGCGGTCCGCGGGCCTCTCACTGTTGTGGCCTCTCCCGTTGCCAAGCACAGGCTCCGGACGCGCAGGCTCAGCGGCCATGGCTCATGGGCCCAGCCGTTCCGCGGCATGTGCGATCTTCCCGGACCGGGGCACGAACCTGTGTCCCCTGCATCAGCAGACGGACTCTCAACCACTGCGCCACCAGGGAAGCCCTCAAGTTATTCTTAAAATTATAAGTATTACAATCCAAGAAATAAGTATTATAGAGTAACTTAGTTGGGGAGCTATATATAGTTTCATAAAGTTCTTTTTAAAGCAAATGAGGTAGTTTTAAGTGAATGAATTACTAAATTGAAGAGTAAGTTCATAAAATAATGAAATTTCTAGGTAGTGGAGTTCAACCCGTATGGATAACTTACATTACTTAAATTTTGTCATATGGTAGAGATTACAGGTAATACCATACAATGGAGAATAAGAAAGTTGGTAAATGCAAATGAGATTTGTTTTCTCCATACTTGTTTGTCACCTATATCTTAATTTTTCAAGAGTTACAATAAGTTAAAAATATCCATACAAAATTTGTTAAAATTCTCCCTGAATTAAAGGTCAAGTATCTTACAATTAAAGACAGTGACAGAGCAGTAAGAGAAAAACAGAACTTGTTCAGAATCTTCAGTTACTGTAATAGGCAATGACTGTTAAGTTCTAAGGCAATCTAAGAAATATTTACTGCCTCAATGAACAGATAAATCAGTGAATGAAAGAAAAGGTTAGCTGGGAGAGAAATATAGGAATGGTGGTTATTCATCATAATCTCTGCAAATATAAGCATGGGACATTCTTCTGAAGGACAGAAGGTGGAACAAAAATTCCCCTATATAAACACAGTATCATTAAAAATTCAGAAATATCTACTGTCAAGTTACTACTTTTTTACAAGGAGGTAACAGAAAGTTAGTTAATGCAACCTAACATACCATTGTGATCTAAGCTACCATTGTCTACTGGATTCTAAAATGAGAAATATTGTGTATAATAGAATATTCATGTATAAATCTGCATGTACATATCTTTTTAGTATAAATAAACTACAGCTTACCGTTGGGTTTAGGATTGTCTCTTCTGTCAGGGAACCTTATTAATGGAGTATGTGGCTTGACTACCTAAAGGAAAAATAAAATGCATGAAAAAGAAATGAAGCACTAAAATAACCTCATTTACTACATAAGAAATAATCTAATGAACCTCACAAGCAGATGCCTTTGTTAAAATAACTTAGTACCTGAGAGCAACTTTAAATTTTACTCTTTCCCAACAAGGATAGCTAGTCTATGAACTATTATCTGATATTCATAAGAACTTTGTACTTTATACATCACAAGATATTTTACTGTACTGCCTACTGACCTCAAAACAACCCTATAAGGTGACAAGGATTTTATGTTGCATGACTTCTAAATCACCCTGCTGATTGGTAAGAATTGGAAGTTTCCTGACTTGTATTGAGTGTTGTTTCTCTACTATGTTAATACCTAGTGGTTTAGAATAGGATAAAAAGCATATTGAAAATTAGGTAATCAAAAAAATACTTTTTCTGACTATAACACATGTTCTGTGTAAAAAATTTGGAAAAAACACAGAAAAGCACAAAGAAGAAAACACCATCTATAAGCCAAAACCCACATAAAATAGATTTAAACATTTGACAGCCCTTGCCTTCAGCCTTTTTCCTATACCCACAGAAATACATGTATTTAGAACACTGTTTTTAATAAGATATTTGAAGAGTATTAATGTTTTATCCCTAAAATTCCAGTTAATGCTACAGAGGAGCTTAAGCAGAACTTTCAGTATGAAATCTTCTGAATATATATAAAATGCTGAGACTCTAATAAACAGAGCACTATTTTTTACTAACGTAATCTATAAGTTGCTGTGTAACTAGTGAGACAGGTGTGTGTTTATCTGCAATATATCTGTATATACGTACTACACATTACACATTTTATATGAGTACAGAAGCAAATAGGCTTGTAGGGATGGGTCTGAAAACTAACCACCATAATTCTGCTGCTGTGAGAAAATGCTGGAAGATAGTTGTCTCCCTAAGCATAAAAGCATGTTCACATCTTTCGTGTTAAAAAACAAACCTTCTCACTCCATCTAGTACCTGTTTCTTTTCATAGCCAGGCTTCTTGAAAG